GCTTTGCCAAGAATGGTTCCTGAGTTTTTCTGGTCTATGAAAATAATGTGGGTGAACCTCAAGTTTGGGGTTGCTAAGAGTCTACAATCAAAAAGAATGGCCTCAAGGAAAGGAAGAGAAAACAAGAAAATAAGATTATTCTAGTTCTTGTCCTCTCCTGAGTAAACAGCAACAATTTGTGACAAATTGTTGGGTTGGTTTTGTGATATCAACAAATGCCTAAGGACAGGAGGTTGAGGCCTCAAAACTAATTTTCTCTAAGTCAAATTCAAAACCAAGCCTCTAGGGGTGAAAAATGAATACATTAACCTATTCCACTTTAAATGATTGCAATGAACACATTTTTTTTTGGAAGCACATTATTTCTCTAAGAAATATTCTGATTTGTGCTAAAGTATGCTTACTATTGAGAATTAAAATATCTTTATAAATAATAGAGTGTTTTAATTTTATATTTCAGGTACTATCGAGCTGCAACTAAACATTTGAAAAATGTACTAAATTACCTTTTAGTAGTTACTCATGCTAAAATTAATATGTTTTGGAAAGTTCAGAAGCACATTTTATTTTTTCATTTATTGGGGAAAACTGACATGCTTAAATTAGAATTAAACTGATACATCTGCCTGGCTGGTTGCTAACTAACCTGCAATTTCTGTGCCTTTAAGGACCTGTCCCTGAGTATGGAGGAAAGCAGGGCAGGCTGAACAGGAGGAATAAAGAATATAAACAGGGATGAGAACAGGAGGAAGCGGCAAAGGTCTGTTGCCCCTGGAAATGATCCAGGGGTCTAACAGGTATCTTTTGGGCCTGAGCTGTGGTGGCTGGCTGATACATTCTCTAAGGTTATAACTCTATGATGCTAAACTTCCCAGTAGCTGGAAATAGCTAAGATGGTTGGTTGCATTTTCACCTCCATATCTGTCATCTTCTAACATCTTAGAGCATGCAGAAGTATCCAAGTAGAATTAGATCAAGGAGTCAGGAATAAATGACCAGTTGTCCCTGGCAAATAATAAAAACCAAGACAGTAGTTGCTTCTAAGAAAAAGATACCTTTCCACACAGTCCCACTTCAGCAGGAAAGAGACATGAACAAATTTGTGAAACATCAAAGCAAAAACCAAACAAAAAACCAAACTCACTGCAGTCGAGTCGGTTCCAACTCATAGCGACCCCTCCTTGGGTTTCTGAGGCAGTATCTCTATGGAAGTAGATTGTCCAGTCTTCCTTCAAACACCAAAGCAAAAGCAGTCTTAAAAGTGTCCAACCAAATACATGAAAATGAAATTGAAATTCTACACCATGGTGTAAATTTTATCTAATGGGTTCCTATCCCACAAGCAAAAATTCTCTTTCATGTTCACACGCAAAAACCAATAGCAACACTTCCTATCAGCAATGGAGGAATAGCCTAAATGTAAGAATTGTTTGACCAATGTGGGCATGATTTTCTAGTAGGTGTCCCAAAGCTTTGTCTTCTCCACCGGCCAACTAAAGTTAATCCTTTCAAGACAGAATTATTTTTTGTTTGACTTTTTTTTGTGGTTGTTGAAACCATATGTTTTCAGTATTTTGAATGAATCAAAAAAGAATTTTGCGATAATAAGGATTTTAATATAATTAGTGGGACACATATGTCCCGAAGGGTCCCTCGTGCTGGGGTTTGTGGGATGAGGCCTGTTTCTTCAGATTCACACAATTATGCCACCATCTAGCTACCACCAGATGGCAGCACACACTAAAAGTGGGACAGAAGCTTCCCACTAAGCCCCAGAAGCAGAAATTGTAGGTGGGCACTGTATGTCCTATGAATCACAAAAGGTTAAAGAGAAACACTTAAAGTATCCTTCTCCAGAATTCCTTTCTGAGCTCTCCAAAGATGGTGTTCATGGACTCCTTTGAAGCTAATCATCAGAGTTTTTTTTTTCCCCAATTGAATTTCTGTCTCAATGCTTCCCCCAACACACAAATACATACATATATATATATGTGTATATATATGTATATATGTATATATCTCTGTGTGTGTGTATATATATATGTGTGTGTGTGTGTGTGTGTGTGTATGTATATATAAGCAATGCCTGTGCATTCCAGATAATAAGGTGGCCTAAAATATTATCAGGTGTCACAACTGTTCAGGCTAATTTTGTAGTTCTTGCACCTCTGACTGGTGTACCTGTGAGCTGACACCGGTCTGATAATGTATTCCGCAACTGTACATGTTAATTTGTAAGTTGAACAATCTCTCTGTGAAGGCAGTTAGGAAACTCAAATTGAAATTGCTAATATGGGGTGACTTCAGCTGTCAATGATTATGTCGTCAAGTCTTGACCATAGTTTCCAGAACCCTGGCTAAAAATGGAAGTCTTCAGACAGTACAGAAATGAATTCATACACTTCACTGATACTGAAACTTTTTTAAGAACAGATGTCAAGATAATTTAAGAGGAGCTGGAATTTAACATCTTAAGAAAACTTATAGGCAAGGTAGGACAGTTGCGTTTTCAAGAAAAATCCGACAGATGATAAGAAGTCATTTGGGTGACTTTTATTAGAGAAAGAACTGATTGATTTTCTTCTTCCTTACAAGTTGTGGGCCCTGTAGAGATGCTAAGATCAGAAATATGATGGCTTGTCTGCTGAGTTGAGTGACAAAAACAATCTCCATGTTTAAGTGGCACAGAGGGTTCTCACTAACACTCACAACTTGGACAATTCAATTTCTCCTTGGCATGTGCAAACTTCTGTGTCCACTGCCTATTTCAATCCTGTTCTTCCCAACTTGACATTGGGCCATTTTACTTTGAACCCTCTCTCCCAACTCATGGAAGTAAAAACCAACAGAAGAACAAGATGGTTTCTGATCAAAATCTTTCTGTCAATTTAATATTTCAATTAAATGGAGCATTGTTTTAAGTCTTTCTACATTTACTTTATGCTTAATATCTAAGAATTTTCTGCTGTTTTTCATTGTTAGAAAGACATTAAAAATCTACCCACTCTGACTATATCTTGATTTTGTTTCAAAGCAGGTATAGTTGATGGAATTCTTTAAGATTGTTTTCCCTGTTACTGGAACACTGTTTTTTTCCTTGCTAGCTACCACCCTTATCCTGTCACCTAAATCTTTCCATGGATTTAACTCTAAACACAGATTATTGTTTCTGCAATAGGCCACTGAAATCATCCTCAGGGATGATGTTCCTTGAAGGTCCTTATAGATGGACAATCTATAAATTAACTTACATTGATGGTCTCTGTCTTATCTTATTACTTGATGAGTATTCTACATGTCCTGCGGAGTTGAACTAGTGGTTTTGTCCACTTATCCATGAGACCAGCCATATGCAAATAAGTGGCTTTCTGTGTATTGCCAGGTGGACAGGAGTCCATATCCCACACCACCATAAACAGTAGGCATGATCATCAGTCCCTGTTTGGGAGAGTTCCAGGACTGAGCTAGCAGAAAGACTGAATTACTTACCACCTCTAGAGTGGGTCCCTCCAGGCCAGGGACGAGCTCATGGGCAAGGCTGTGCAAGGAAGCGCTCTGTACCATGCCTGCCCTGCGGATATACAGAGGACTTCAGTCTCCTGCACTGTCAATCTCTCAGTCATCATGAGCTCAAATATGCACCGACAACAGCAAGAACAACAACAACGACGACAACAAAACAACCCCCAAAAAGCTAAGGGCCACAGAATACCCTGGTGGAGAGACAGCCAACTGGAACTGGGCATTGAGAGATGGGGTGCTGTCCTAATCATGTGTCTACTACGGGCCTGATCTTTTCATCTTTCCTCAACCAAACATTCCATCAAAGCCCGTGGGAGAGCCATGTGGAAAGGGACTGCAGGACGGGGCCCTAAAAGTCAGGCAACATCTCATTGAATTTAATGAGTTTTTCTTTATTTTTTTTTTGGTACTTTTTTTTCTACAAATAGAGATAGACAGACAGACAAACTCAAGAGCAGATTGCAAGAATCAACGGAGGCACTAGCTAAACAATTTTGGTGTTACACAGATTTCTTTTTCCCAACAGTTTACATGAAATAAAAAATTTTAAAGATGTAATTAGGAGAAATCTGAGGATACGTCTTTATCAGTCCTAAACTGTAGCATAAATAGCTCCATTGCTTGCTTCATAAGGATGCCTAATCACATCTCATAGATAGCACAGTATATATCTGTGGTCTAAAATAATTATCAAATTCTAATGACACTATTAATTCAAAGTCTAAATGATATGATGGTCAAGTACAGTGGAAGTTGACCGCCTGCGTCAGTGACATATTTGTTTCATCCTGTTGTTAAAGGCACAGTAAACATCACTGCTCTGACTGCACATCACACCTTACATTGATATGAGTTTGCAAACTTATGGTGTACTTCGAATGAAGGCAATTGAAGGAAGCAGTTGAACCTGAGGAGTGGGAATGAATACAGCGTATAAATCCATCACATATTTCCACATCAAACTACTAATGCCATTTTAGCAGGGCCCTCCAAGGCCATGCCCATGGTCAAGTGACAGCACCTGAATTCCCAGTCAGTATCTTTATTCCACAGACACAAGTACAAAACAGCCTAATCTGTGAACTAGTGGTGAAGAAAAAGGAGAACAGAGTGTAAAAGAAATCAAAGGGGTGTTTCCTAGAAATATACCAACTCTTCTAAGAAGGATCTAGAATGAGTACTTGATCAGTAAGTAATTGATCCTCCAACTAGATTTAATTATTTTTCTAAATATTAATGGCTTCAAACACTAGAATTCATCCAAATATGCCTTAGTCTCTCCCTTCAACACACACTCAAATACAAACAGGTGGAGATGTACCACTTCCGACCACTACAGGTTGAAAAATATGACCTCTGTTGACCATGGATCACAGCTGAAACATTAGTTTATACTTGAAGGGTCACAGCAGCCAGACATATGCAGATTCCAACTCTTCAGAAAACTTTGGACAAAAAAAGAGAAATGCATTACTTACATGTATGTGTCTTCTTCGTTACTGAGATACCTAGAAGAGAAGAAACAATGACAAAGGTAAGAAAGTGGCCTGTGTGTGCTCCTCCGAATGTATGTCATTCATAGTGTGTATGGGAATGGATTTCACTCTGACTGACATACAGGCAAGATTAGTTTGAATGTTGCATGGCAGCATCCCTGGCTCTACTCCAAAGTAGTGCTCTATGACCGATGGTGACAGCAAGCGTTGCCTAGGGCTTACAAGGTTCTGTGCTAAAAGGAAGCAACACAGGCAGTAATTAACCAAAACCAAACATGTTGCCATTGACTCTATTCCAACTCATAATGACCCTATAGGACAGAGTGGGAATTCTGGTGGTGTAGTGCCTAAGGCTAACCAGAAGGCTGGCAGTTCAAACCCACTAGCCACTCCTTGGAAGGAAGACTGGGCAATCTACTTCCATAGAGATACTACTTTGGAAACCCAAGTTGGGGTTGGTTGCTATGAGTCAGACCCAAATCGACGGCAGTGAGTTTGATTTTCTTTTTTTTTTCAGGACAGAGTAGGACTGCTATGTAGGGTTTCCAAGCCTACAATCTTTACAGAAGCAGACTGCCACATCTTTCTCCTGAACAGTGGCTGGTGGGTTCAAACCAGTGACCTTTCAGTTAGTAGCTGAGTACTCAACCACTGCACCACCAAGCTCTATACCTGGTGCTGTCAAGTTGATTCTGATTCATAACAACCCTGTAGGACTGAATAGAATTGCCCCATAGTGTTTCTAAGGCTGTAAATCTTTATGGAAGCAGATTGCCTCATCTTTTTCCTGCAGAGCACCTGGTCAATTTGAACTGCCTGTATTTTGGTTAGCAGTTAAATGCGTTAGCCACTGTGCCTCCAGGGCTCTTTAGACAATATTTAAGCAGGGTTAAACAGGACAACCATCACTTGTCTGTCAGTTTGTTGTGTTGTGGTGGCTTGCAAATCTGCTGCAAAAGAGCTCTTAAAAATATTAAAAGCAAAGATGTCACTTTGAGGACTAAGGTGCATCTGACACAAGCCATGGTATTTTCAGTTGCCTCAAATGCATGTGAAAGGTAGACAATGAATAAGTCAGACCAAAGAAGAATTGATGTCTTTGAATTTTGGTGTTGGCAAAGAGTACTCAATATATCATGGACTGCCAGAAGAATGAACAAATCTGCCTTGGAAGAAGTATAGCCAGGATGCTCCTTAGAAGAGAGGACAATGAAACTTTGTCTCACATACTTTGGACATGTTATTAGGAGGGACCAGTGTCTGGAGAAAGATATCATACCTGGTAAAGTAGTGGGTCAGTGAAAAAGAGGAAGACCCTCAATGAAATGGATCGACAGATACAGTGGCTGCAACAGTGGGCTCAAACATAACAATGATCGTGAAGATGGCACTGGACCCAGCAGTGTTTTGTTCTGTGTAGGTGGCTGGGAGCTCGGGTGGTATAGTGTCTAAGGCATTTGACTGCTAACCAGAAGGCTGGCGGTTCAAACCCACCAGCCACTCCTAGAAAGAAAGGCTGGGCAATCTATTTCTGTAGAGATACCACCTCGGAAACCCAAGGAGGGGTTGCTATAAGTCGGAACTGACTTGACCTCAGTGAGTTTTTTTTTTTTTTTTTTTAATGAGTTGCAAGCAACTAGATGGCTCCTACCAACAACAACAACAAACAGGACAAGAGAAGACTATTTATTTATTTATTTATTTTCAAATTGCAGATAGGAGAGATGAGCATGTCTACAGTCATAGTGGGAAAGATTTAAGGCATAAGAGAGTGATACCAACCTATTCAGGCAAGAGCAAGCTGAGCAACAGAGTGATTAATTTGCTATGGGCATTGACTCTGTGTTTGCTTTTTAATGAAAAAGACCCTTCCTGCTCACATGAATCATAACTACATGGTGAGGGAAAAACATTCATGAAATGAACCTATCTGTCCCCACTTGTTAAGATCAGAGGGGAATTTTCTCTGGAAATGGCACCAAAATGAACAATAACTGTATGAAAAGATGAGAGATTCATGAGTCAGCACCCTTGATGTTTCCATAGTGGTTTTCAGATGGCAGGTGACAAATGGAACTAAGCAATATTTATCACACAAGGCCATATAGAGATAACACAAACGCATGCTTCAATTTTCAGAAGTACTACACATTGAACCCTTTATGCTCCATTCTTCTTTAGGGACATTCTTGACACTAAACAGACTCAAAGTAATAAAACTTCTGAAAACATTTAGCCTGTGACTAACAACTATGATAAAACCTTATATATATTTTTCTTTCAAGTTATTAAAGAGAACTATTTAATTCTGCTCTGGAAAGTAAAAGTTGTTGAAAAACTTGGCACCTCTATCAGACTTTTTCCTTAGCTATGGAATATGTGGTACAGTGAAGAACGCCACAGTATGAAAATCTACAGTAGACAGTTAAAAAAAAAAAAAAGTCAATTCCAAAGTTGTGTTCCAAGACCAAAATCACACACTTGCTTGCCCCACAACTTTCCAAATGACTTACTTAGAGATGCTGAAATTACATAGCTCAAATCAAACTCATTTTTCCCCTTTTCTACTGAGGAAAATGAAACTATTGTTTTTCTTCATGTTTGAGTTGGCTTTGCAAAGTGAAGTTAGAATCTTCTGCAAAGATCCTTGAAGGCTGTCTCACACAGAAACTACCAAAATGTTCAATTTTTTTTTAAAAAAATAACTTTTATCACAGGAAGGGAACTTCACCCAAACAGCTACAGTGAGGAAAGTTTAAAATTTGAATACAATTTGCAACTCTAGCTCATGACACCAGCACCAATAAATTGATACATTAGTGCCCTTTCAGCATTATGAAACTATATGTGTGTTTTCCTTAGGAAATAATGCTTTCTGTAAAATCACTTTGAAGAGAAAGTGCTTATGCTGTCACTCCTGATTATTCAGAACCTCCACACAATTGGATTTAACACAGCCCAAAACAGACCTATCTATATTCGCTGACTGTGGAACTATTTTCTCCTGATATCCAAAGGCCTGATGAAAATACCACTGCCTTGACTTTTATACTTAAGTTTATTATACAGCGTGAGGCAGTGTTTTCATCAAATATTTTCATGATGATTACATTGATAATAGATTGTGAAAATCTTTCCAGGGAAGCTGCCTGATGTTTGAAGTGACAGTAACAGGCAGAGAGCTAAAACTTCCCACATCTGTTCCCAGCATAAGGCATGACTTGGGCAACAGCACCAACACTCCATTTTGTTTAACTGCCAATTAACAATTAATAGAAATAATGAGGGATATACCTATATTGGAGATGTCAGACTTAACAGATAAAATAGAGGACACCCAGTTAAATGTGAATTTCAGATGCTAGCAAATAATTTATTATTTATTTGAAATTCACATTTAACTCGGTACTCTATTTTATCTGTCACCTTAATCGAATTACATAATTATCATGAAAATTATATCTATTATACACAATGAAGAATTTACCAATCAATTTAAACACATTTTTATGAAGATAAGCTTAAAAAACACACCCATAGTAGAAGCAATCTTTTTGAAAAAAAGTGCATTAATAATTCTTAATTATAGAGGTAAGGAGCCCTTGTGCTGCAGTGATTAAGAGCTCGGCTGTTAATAAAAAGGTTGATAGTTTGAACCCACTAGCCAATCCAGATGAGAAAGATGAGACAGACTGCTTCTGTAAAGATTGACAGCCTTAGAAACTCTATGGGGGTAGCTCTACTCTGTCCTATAGGGTCCCTGTGAGTCAGAACCAACTTGACAGTAACTGGTATTTATGGAAATACAACGGAGCATAATATTAAAAGTTTTGTTTTACCTAACACCAATTACGAAGACAGAATTTTACTTCCCTGAAAAAAGAGAACATACAAACACAGTGAAAACACTCAAAAGAAAAACTGAATAGAACAATCAGAAAATTTGAGTCCACTCCCTCTCCTTCCAGGAAAAAGAACAGTCATGATTACTCCAACGGCTTGAATTGGTGTTATTCCTTTCTTTACAGAAACTCTAGTGCTATCTAGGTCCCTGGGTGGCACAGATGTCTAGTAACAAAAAGGTTGGTGGTTGAACCCACCCTGCAGCACTGCAAAAGAAAAAGCCTGGGGATCTGTTTCTGTGAAAACTACAGAAGAAAGAAGGGAAGGGGTGGGTGCAGGGAGCAAGTGGACGAATACTGGTAAAATGCAGGGACTGCAGTAAATGTCACAAAACATAATGTGTATGGAGTGTTGAATGGAAAACCAATTTCTGTAAACTCTCACCCAAGTCAGAATTAAAAAAAGAAAAGAAAGCTACAGATTTGCTGGACTCACCCCAAACAAACAAACCACAGTACAGTCAAGAAAACCCTTTAGGGCAGTTCTACACTTCGTGAGGTCTGTGAGTTGGAACTTTATGGCATAAGGCAACAACATACATCATAGTAACTGACTATGTAGAAGCATTAAACAAAATCAGATTTTTTTTTTTTCATGTCACAAATGGTGAAACTGAAGTTCAGAGAAGTTTAATTAATTAATAAAAATTTTCTTTGTGTAAAGTTAATATCAGACTTATAGGTCTTTAAAAACTCTAGTACAGACAGTACCGCTCAAAAATGTAAATACTAAAAAAATAATTTATCCCCTGGAGCATACCAATCAGCAGTCTGCTTTGTAAATAATTTGAACTGACAGAAGCCTGTTCTCTAGCTTTATCTAAAGCAGGAAGTTATCATCCCAAGTTTGGGTGAAAGATTTACTCAAACAGATACAAATGCAAACACATAGAAACAGTATCCAAACCAAACTAAACCTCTTGCCATCAACTTGTGATGACTCCATGTGTTAGAGAGTACAACTGCTCCATAGGATTTTCTTGGCTGTAATCTTGTGGAATCAGATCACCAGGCCTTTCTTCCACAGCATCGGTGGGTGGGTTGAAACGCCAACCTTTCAGTCAGTAATCAAGGACAAGCTATTTGTGCTACCCAGGAACATCATGGAAA